ATATATATATTCAGGTTTATGCAAACTAACCACATGCTGCTGCTAATACCAAAACACCAACATTAGATTACCGCAGTCATTTTTCTGCCTGATAATAAACCCGAGCAACCACGTGAACACGGGCTTTTGATATCAATACCAATCACTGCCTAATCATATTCAGTTTCCTGGTTTGGGGAGGTTAAAGGTGGCCTGTTAGCAAGTAGCAGGCTAAAGCTAAGGCTAACACTGGCAGAAGTAAAACAGTTCACACATGCACACAACTCACAAACAAGGCTCCAAATCACGTGTAATAAACGCCAGCCTTGGGTGGCCTTTAGTTTGCAGCCGTTTGGGGCTAGAAATCCTGTATTTGCCGAAACTCGTGAGCAGACAGGCATCACAATGTGGCTATAGTCGTAGCCTCCCTTGAGCACGACTAGAGCAGAAACTTCAAAACCGAGATATCATTTATACACATTAATTATACATCAATTAATCTCACATGAAAGTCTCGCAGAGTCTCGCTGGCGGACGCCTCGGAGAGAAACAGCCCGCCGCCACCAGCGGTGCAGCAGGGCAGTCAGAGCGGGCAGAGAGCTCTCGGTGCCCCGCCGTGTGCCAGCCTCGATGCCCGGTAGAATTTGGGAGTCCTCAACTGGCCCGGGCCGGTGTGTGCGTGCATTCAGCGGAGGGAGGGGGCGAGGGAGGGGGCGGCAGCGGAAAATGGACAAAAAAAGGAGAACGAGAGAGCTCCTCTTTTTTATTTTTGAATGTCAATGATGGTTTTTAACTGCCCTCAACACACACGTTTATCGTCTGGGGGACCAGGGGTACGAAATATGGCACAAAAATAGTCGGGGGAGGGGGGGTAAAATATTCAGCAGTTCCCGTCTCCCCTCCGCTCCGTGTCAGCGCGGTGTGATGTCCGTTAAGACCGAGTTCCCTCCTCCTCCGGCCGAATGGCAGCTACCGACATGGGACAGACACGCGTTGTTCCCCCTCCAAAATGTCGCTTATGCTATATCACAGCGAATAAATGCTTTATTGCATCTCCACCAAAAAGCGGACTCGGGAACCACGCGGGGCTATCTTCACTCTAAGGAACTAAGATTCTTAAGGTATTTTTTAAAGGAGAAGCGGGGGGTCTACAGCGGAGGGCGATCCTGGCACTCCATCTTTAGCCGACATCAACAGGTCATCCCGGGACACAAATGCGCTGCAACTGTGGACGAGACAGACGGATGGATCCGGCATGGCGAGAGAGGAGAGGAGAGGAGGGGAAAGGAAAGTAGGGGGCTGGCTGTAAAATCTTAACCCATTTACCGACAGCAGCCTATGCCATGAGATTACACAAATAAGCAACTACCAGCGTCGTTCAAATGCAGCAATGTCTAAAAGGAAGAGGGGAATAAATGCACGCCTCGCTCAAACCTCAGGTAGTTTCTGAGAAAGTTCAGGAATGCTAGAGAAAGAGGAGCACAGGTCTCAGGAGAAGACAGTCGCCCAGGGGCAGCCCGAGGCGACGAGTGAGTGGTGCCGGTGTGAAGTGGTTAAAGTTTTGGTCTGTCCCCAATCACCCATCCCCCATAGGAGCCAGCACAACTTTACCACCCCACTCCCCTAAAAAACAATAGCCTAACCTCCACTTCAACAAAACGCCTAAGTCCCATACACCACCCCTCCATCTAAATTCACCCACAGAAATGTAAGCACATACAAACACGCAGTGGTGGGCACGGGCAACTAGCAAACCCGGCCCCCCAACCACCCTCCCCAACGGGCCGAGTCCGAACCGTTACACACGGTGACCCGCCGAGCTTCCACTCACCCCTCGGCTGTGTTCGCTGGAAAGTGTTTCAATGGAGGAGCAAAGCAGAAGCGGTCTAGTGTCTCCCTCCGCCTCACTACAGACACTCATTCACTGTGACTGTACGCCGTGAACCAGCAGCGGAGCACGCATACACATACATTACTTTGCGAGCGCGCAGGATGTCGGGCGTGCACGCACGCACACACACGTGCCAGCGAGAAGAGCGCGGAGCTATCGAGGAGGACGCAGAGGAGCAGAGCGGGGATTTTTTTTGAAACTCTCCCTGGGGTTGCAGACAGATCGCAGAGCTACCGATGGACAGACAGACACACAGAGGCTGTATGCACTATTTTATTGGGCACTTTGTTTACTGTGTGCTATATTGTCAGCAGTTCACAGGTGCCTAATCTAAAACGACTAGCCCACCTATTGATGTATTATTAGTGTCTTTACATCAAAAAAGTCAGAGTTGCATGATGTCATAACTTCAAACCAAAGTAAAATAAAAAAGTTTACCTCAGTGGTAATCAAAATAAACCTCACCAAATCTTTAATTTGTCCCCAAAGCCTTTAAAAACAAGTTAAGGGGTAAATTATAGGCTCGCCCACACACTCACTCTGTTTTCATTCAGTGCAGACAATGCAGAGCAAAGTTTACATTTTTCTGCATTTAAAGATATAGCGATTTTTTTTCATGTCAAAATGCATAGATATTTTTTCATCGCTTTTATTCGTTTTATACAAGGCTAAACTGTTTTGTTTTTTCGTTTTGAAAGATGGTTAAATAAGACAGAAATAATTTAGTAAGCCGGTAGAAATGCATAGAAATACAGAAATAGTCACACGGGTAATGTAAATACAGATGTAGCCCAACAGCAATAAAACTGGCGGTAATCAGATTACATCCGAAGGAATAACGGATCACGGGTTCGAGCCCACGCGCCGCTGCGGGCAGGTAGACTGCCAGCGTCCCCAGCCGACCCGACCGTCTGAGCCCCACCCACCAGTCCACCCACTCAACCCCACTCACTCACCGGCGTGTCTTTGGTGCTGGAACCAATTCCCCTCCGATGCCCGACACCGCACGGACGTGAAGCCTGCCGGGCCGGCGGTTCGATCCCCGATGTCTGATCTGTACTGAGAGTGCGTCTAGACTCCGGGCAGGTGAGCCCTCCGGGGCCTCCAGGCGCTGCGCACAGTGAATACTAAACAGGATGAGACTGCATTCAGGCACGGCACTGCGCTCCCCGCTCTCTCTCCCTGTCATGCCAAATACTATTAACTCTATAATTCTCCTGTGTCAGATGTATAGCGCCACGCTCTCTGGGCATTCATTGTCACAGCGCCCCCATCCAGATGTTCAGGCTCGTGTGCGTACAGTAGAAGCAGAACCCTCTATTTTTTATTTTTCCTCTCATTTACAGTCAACCATGTCCCATTTTGTGGAAGCTGGCTGCAAACCGCTCAATAAGCAGATGGTAGACATTTGATAGTGAATATGAGAAAGCCTGCTGTATAAGCAATATATTGCTTTTCAGTGTAACTCATTCGCTCTACTGTTCAAGTTGTAACCTATAAAATATTTGTAG